TAGGGATTAGGGTGGCTGTAACGGTTTTGGGTGGTTTAAGGGGGATGATCGTTTAGGGGGATTTTATCATATTTTTTACCAGTCTATTCTACTGTTGTATAACCAAGTTGAGCTCGTGGTTTCCTAGTGAGATTAATGAATTAGATTCCTTTGGTTGAGGTATCCTTTCAGTAACTTAGCTGTGGTGTTTTGGTTCCCGTTGTGTGGGTGTGTTCCGATTGTGTGTTGTTGGACTGGTTTTTTATGTACTGGAGGTCTAACACTACCTTAGCTCGAAATTGCAGGATGGCTTGGGACCATTTTGGCTTTTGGTTAAGTCTACAAACCTATAAATTGGGACCATTTTAGCTTTTGATTAGGGTGGGGTGAGTGCAAGCGAGAGATCTAATACTCGAATTTTGGGAAAAGCTAGTAATGTATCCAAAAATATAAAAATGGATTGGTTAGACTTCCTTTTCTCATTCATAAAATTCCATATGAGGGCCTTCAATGCTAAATGTTTCAAAATAACCAAAATCATATTCATCATGAATCATGAATCAATCAACACAAAACACATTTGATTATTGAAGAATGTCAAACTAATGAGTGAGATAGGTTTTAGAGTACCTCCATGAGTGTTTGTTGATGTCGTTGCCATCCTTCAATGTCACCTTGCTGCAAAGGAAGATGATGACAAACAAGAGTATAAATGGAGCCAATTTCTTCCCCCTATCTAGTTGTCCACGGTTTTCTTAGCTAAGCCCATGTCCACAAAAACGAATGTAGATATTTTCCACGCTCTGAATGAAATAAGGGAGAAATAGGAAAATAGACCAAGACTTGAGATGAATTAAAATTAATAGGCCAATAGTTTATATAAGTTAATAAATAGGCCAAATTACTGTTTTCGTCCATAACTAGTCTGGTTATGAACCATAACTTGACAAGTTATTGTCCATAATTGTGCATAACTTGTCTGGGCTATGAACCATAACTTGACAAGTTTATCCATAACTTATCTGGTTATGAACCATAACTTGACAAGTTATGGCCTATTAATTTCTATAACTAAAAATTGGCCGATATACTTTCTTAAGCTTTTCATATTGGCTTATTTTCTACTATTTCTCATGAAATAATATCATCAATCTTAATGGGCCAAGCCCAAAGCCAAGAGATAAAAGAGAAAACGAGACAAATACCCCTTTAAATAGAATATCCCTAGATGTTTAGCCCACCAATATTGGCCCATAAATTTCTACCCTTTTAGACTAAAACCAGTCAAAGTCTAATATATGGATTATCAAAATTGCCCTCAATAGTCAAAAAGGTAGTCTATAAGATTACCACTAATAAAATTATAAGATGCCGTTGGGAGGCAATCTCCAGTCATCGGCTGCTAGCCATAATTTGGCAGACCAAATTATTTTTTTTTTATTTTCAACCATAAAATGAGATGTCATCTTGGACGTCAATCGCCACGTTGGCCGTTAGTCATAATCTGTGAGATTATAATTATTTTTAGAATTTAGCAAATTATTCATGCTCCTCTCCGATAGGCAATGGTCAATGCCGGTTGTCGATTGCCAATCACCTATCATAATCCGCCATATTATGTTTCATAATCTACCGTACTATTTTTGTATTTTTAACCAAAAAATCATTAGTTGTCTCTAACTCCAGCTGTTACGTGTCGCCGAAGCAGCGACAAATCGCTCGCGCCTTTCCTCGAGATACTTTACCTAACTCCGGAACCTGGCTCGGACACACGACGTCGCAGCAATGGGATCTAGCCGAGCGAGAGGAGGCTCAAACGGTGAGGAGAGGAGGGCTCGTACGTCGATGAAGGCACTATGACGATGAGAATGATCTCATGATGCTAGTCTCCTCAACGTGAGGAGAGATAATGGAGGGCTGAGAGAGGAGACAAATGTTAGAGAGAAAAAGGAAGAGTCAAAAGGAGAGAGAAACCTAATATGATATTCCAGCCAAAAAAAACCCTAGTCCGATAAAAATAATGCTTTTATTGAGGATATTCTAGTCTTCTACATTGTTTATAAAATGTCAAAGAGAAGTCAAAGGGACAGAGTATAATCAAAGAGGTAAAATTCTAGGTTATAAGTATTTTAAAGGGTAAATTAGGAAAAATGTAGTAAATAACATATTTATGAAACTAAATTAAGTAAATAACTTATGTTAAAATTATTTTAAGTACATAACAGTTTATCGTGTAATATTTCATTCAATCAAATTCCTTTCCCATTTTGTTTTCTATTCTGCAATTGTTATGATGTTTGATTAAAGTTAGCAGTCACGAGCTGCCTGGACCAACTTCTATTGATTGATCTATACCAAAATTTTTGCTATATTCTCAGGAGACATCATCCCTCACGGAAAATATTATTTTGATTTATCATGTAATGCAACTTGAATTGCTTATCATTGTAACAAGATATCAACTCTGAGACTTAAATCAGCCTTTCTTATCTTTTATATATGTATATATATATGTTCCTTCCAGACGACAGCCTAACTATTTTTCCTTTAGTAGGTGTTATACATTACAACTTATCTCTAAATTGCAGGATGACTTGGGACCATTTTAGTTTTTTTATTACACCTACAAAACTATAAATTGCGCAAGATCTAATTTCCAATATTTTTTAAATGACAAATAGATGATTTTGACTGGAAGCATGATAGTTGAGAATTGTTGATAAGAAAAAGAGTGTATAGACTTATCTGGTAATGTTAGAGTGGACTTTTTACATGTTGCGCCTCGACGGTCTGAAAAAGAATTGGTTAGACATCATTTTCTCATTCATTAACATGAAATGGATTATACATTATACAATTCCATATGAGGCCCGTCAATTTATGTCATATTCCTCTTTAATCTCTTATCCGAAACCAACATACTCTGTTTCCCTATTCATGGAGAATATATTTTTCACACATCTGAAAGTTACAGCTCTATGCATATTTGTTCATATGGCTACAAAATACTTGCATGTCAATTTTTCTTTTCCTTTTCTTCTCTCATCACTTTCAACATCTCAAACTATTCTTGAGGGCAATGAAAACCTAACCAGAAAGAGAGTGTTGATCGCCGTCGTGTTCGTAGAGTGGTCCGTGATCCTTATTCCTAGGGAGATGTCGTAGCTGGAGATTAACACCCAACTGAAATTATTTCATTGTCCAATCTTAAATACTGTGACATGAGAATCCTCTTTTACTCTGCTACTTCTAACCACAAATGAGTCCTCACACCAGCTAGGAAAATCTGTTGTACTCCCATTTGTGTAAGATATACCTTTTGTCTTTGTTTCCAGCATTTAAAGCTTCATCTGCCTTTTCTTTTCAGTATTAGCTCACCTCATTATTCACTTCCCCCGTCACCAAAGCAGATCTTCAAATCAACCTGGTTTTTCTAGATTCGACTTCAATCCCCCTTCATGTCCTTCAATGATATTATGTCACGCCAATTAAAATTAAATATTATGCTACATTAAATAAAATGTCATGTCTGTTAAAAAATTTATTTTATACTGATGTGACATGATATTGACACGAAAAGGGATGAAAAAAAAGGGGGGGACAAGGATGGGGACATGTGATCCAAATCCAATAGGATTTAGTCCCACTATTCTATCAGAATGTCTAAAACTGCAAAGCCTCTAAAGAAGTTAAAAGGAAACCAAAATTTCACCTGGGTCTAATGTGCAAGCTACACTTGATTTATTATGTGCAAATAGGAAATAAGGGTGTTTCTTAATCTGCACTTTGCGTCTGATATGTCAAGTGTTCTTGACTATAGAACTTAAAATTATCTAAGATCTTCACTATATCTCTTTGGACAAGTTACTATTACGAAAAGAAGAGAAAACATGGACCACTGTATTTATGATGGTGGTTACAGATTTGATACACATCTATAGAAGGCTGCTTTTCCTCCATACACTAATAGTAATAACACAAGTTGGGCCTTTTGATCATCCTAGACGACATTCTATTATTGTCGAAAATTCTGAGTGTTGGTCATTAAATAGTAAGATTGAGAACTTCCACCTTCCATTGAATATGATCAGCAGTTGGAAATTGGAGAGAGTGTTGAACTTTTTAGTAAGGGAAACACAAAGAACCTTTTCCGGCCCCTCGGGTTCGAATTTTTACTTGAGAGGCATATATGGAAAGTCTTTCGGGTCCCCTGGATGGAGGGTCATGAATTGAACTGATCACTCATGTGTGGCTCTACCAAGTGATTGGGTTATAGAGCAAAAGGAAACAAAAACGGTGATGGGACCTTGTGGTGGTTAGTGTTGAAAAGTCTAGTGAGTCTTAAATGTGTGGATGGGCTTGTTTCGTCTCTATTATAGTTCATAGGTTGTAAGGATATTGGAAAAGAAAGATCAAAAGAGGGTTTTTTTTTTTTTTTTTTTTTTGGCTCTTTTTACGTTTATGGTGGTGGAATAATCTCTTTTACACCACCGACAGTAAAAACAAAATGGAGAAAAGTTTGTGACTTCTCTTGTGAATTTGCCATCAAAGAACATGTAGACAAAGGCTTGACAACTCAACTACTAAATGGTCCAGGTAATATATGCTTTTTGAATCGTGAAAAAACAGATTGTTGTGTATGATGGTCTTGATCATCAGGTTTGGATGTCACAATAAAAATCAAATGTTAGATTTATTTGTAACTTTTGTAAAACATGTCTTTGAAAGGGAAGCAAAATAAAATAGGAAGACGCTTTTGTTACTTTGCAGTTTGCACTCTCTATTGCACATCAAGATGTTTGCGTGAAGCCAAAAATAAAAAGAAATACATTGATAAACTTCCATTTTTCCTCCAAGTTACATTCTCTACAAACCTCTCCAAGGAAAAAACCAAGTAATTTATAAAATAAAAGGGCAAATAATATACCAGAAGTTGTTTTAATAAACCCTAAAACTAAATAATCATCATCACTGCAACTTCTGAGGACTAATACGCTAATTTGATGAATCAACATCTAACATTACTGAATGTATAGAAGCGAATTTCACGGTGAGGCTAAACGAGGAATTTGAGCAAGAGAGTGTTGCCCCACTCTGGTGTTGAAATCTGTCAACTTAGCAATCTCGGCCTGAAATCTCGCGGGAGAATCCGATCTGAAACGCATGTTCGGCTCATAACTCGGCCTGGGAGTACTAGCTCTATAAGCATCACCAGCAACATTCACAGCCTTTTGGCTCTTGCAGCCTAAAAGGGTGCTCGAACGCCGCCTTGGTAATATCTCTTTGCTCATCCTAGTCTGGGCTGGCGCCAAGACCATCTTCGAAGCAGGCCTAGTTACCGTCTCTTCGCAATCTGACATGACTGAGTAATCAGCCGCGCTTGCAGTGACAACACTCCACTGTATGCTCGCCTCGCTCGGGGCGTAGCCAGTGGTGGGAGTGACACAACCGGAAGTTTGATCATCAGAAGTCCTTACCATAAAAGGGTTGGTTTTCCCTGTGAGACTGTCAATCTCAAACAGGTCAGAGCTAGCATCACTCCCCGAATCATGGTGGTTTGCGCTCGAATTTGCGTTGAATACTATTTCCTCTGCACGAGGAGTAGTAGCCACTGCATTGGGGCGGTCCCATGACATCATTGTCAGCCTCCTGTCAAGGCTATGGGATTTGTTTCCCCTTTGCAAAGCAGGAGAGCCAAACACCTCAGGCGACTTGCACAGAATCTGATCACCATCTTGGCCTTGAAGTGCACTCCTTACCGGAAATTGTCGCAGCCCAGATGGCGGTTTTGCACTCAAGATGTCCACTTTTGGTGGCTTTTGAATTTGAAGTGGCTCAACAAGGTTAAGGCCTGGTCTTGCAGGAGATATTATTCTTGATTTGTGATGAAGAGCTGATTTGTAGCTAGCATTACTAGGACTCTTGTTGAAGCTGATTTCACCAACGTTTTTTGTCTCAACAGAATTCTTATCTGAACATTTGCAGCCAAAACTAGCAAGAAATTTCTTGCCATTCAACTTGCTTGACTTGGTTCTTGATGAATTTTTCATACCACTTTGCAACAACACACTCCTGCTGTTCCAACTAGATTCCGATCGGACACTTGGAGTTCTGGGCTGAATCTTAGCCCTTACTTGCTCTAGATTCAGCCTTCCATCATTCTTGTAAGGGTAGCTTCTAGTGGAAGAGCTTATGCTGGAAATTCGCGAGCTTGTCTCATCGTCGATCACTCCGTTGAAGTACTTTTCAGCTCGAAAAACTCCAATTTCGTCATCTTCTTCCTTGTTTCTTCCCAAATGATTATGCTTCTCTTGAGTGGTGGTAGCAGTAACGATGGGGCTAAAGTTTCGACTTGGCTCGGCTAAGCTACGTACCGGAAAGGGTTCTTTGGTGCTCAAGTACGGAGAAAAGGAGGCATCAACGTTAGAGGGAAATGCTTGGGAGAGGCTAGTGTTGTGAGTTGATGTTAAGGTAACCATATTCATGAAGATTTTCAAATTTTTTTTTTTTTTTTTTGCTTTTAGTAATATTAGAAAGAAAAAGGGAAAATCTGATGGAAACAAACAAAAAGAAAGAAAGAAAGAGGTTGATGTTTAGCTAGGAAGCAGATAAATACAAAGAGAAGATGAAAGAGACACAACAATAGAGAAATTTTGTACATAGAATGTGTAAGAAAGTGATAAGAATGGATCATATATATAGAAGTTTTAAGGTCTTTTACTGCAGAGACGACGCTTATGAAGAAAGCTTTATAGTACGGTCCCTCAGAGAATAAAAGTGAAAGAAACTAGACATGAAGGAGCCATAATTTGCAGGCTGAAATTTTGCTACAAAGAAGAGGAAGAAGAAAGAAAACTTTTGGAAAATTGAGAGGTCACAAGGGTTGTTTAAGTAGGCTTGTGGAATAAGAAAGCAAAGATGTTAATAAGGTAGGCCCATAAGCTTGTGGCATAATTTTACAAGTTGTTGATTTTTCATTTATTATTCTTTTTTTTCTCTCTCGGAATAAATTTATAGCCCGTTTAGTTCGCTGATTCGAGTTTTTAATTCAAGTTGAGATGTGACTTTATATGAGAGCTTTTTACTGTATCAAAAACGTTAGATGTGACTGTTTGTAAGAACTTTTTACTTACTGTAGCAAAACTCGAATTGTAAACCCGAATCAATGAAATGAACAGGGCATTAATTTCTATTCTTAACATGACCTACCACTAAATCTTGAATTAAGTCTGCCCAAAAGTACATAAATACATAGATTCTTTTTCCTGTAGTTTGTGGATATGAACTTAAGAGTTTCAATAATCTCAGATGTGTGTGATTATTTTGCACTTAATGTTTGGTGGTAGGAATATTGGCATTGACTGAGAACAATGAGTTCACTGTTAGTTTAATTACTTGAGGAAAGCATAAGGTGGATGGTCCACATAAATCATGAGTATATTATATCCAAAACAGTGCCAATAATTCATTATGTACACAGGTGATTATGATTTGGCATTTACTGGCAAAGTCTTAAGAAAAGGCCCATATTTATGTATACACATACATGATACATGCATGCATACATACAGAAGAAACATTTGCCTTTATATGCACGTATCTAAAGTTGATGTAATATAAACATGTGTGTGTTAATTACGTATCTACAACTAGTTTTAAGTAAATGTCAGGGGAAAAAAAAGGAGAAGAGAGTCCAAAAAAAAAAAAAAAAAGAGAGAGCGAAGAAGAAAATAGACCATTGCTTCCTTTAGGTCTAGGATTAATTTCAAGAATTCTCTAGACTATAACACTTGTAAATTCTAATAAAGTAACCTCTTTAAAACATGTAAAATATCCTTTCTGTTAGAGGTTCTGACAAAAATAAATAGGTGATTCGGTCGTAATAACTAATTAGTATTTGTTAACTCTCTCCAGTTTAAAATATAATTTTAAAATTCAAGAAAATTTTATACCAATTATGAAGAAAGTAAATCAAGGAGTAAAATTTTACATTTGTTGGATCCTTTTTTATCTAAAAAAAAAAAATCACTTACATTTGTGTGATACATTATGGCTTATTCTTTTGGAGTAAAACTCAAAAAAAGTTTGAACTCAAGTTACAACGGGATTGTTCTTTTGCATTTTTAAATTATGGTGACTTGAGTGATGATCTTGAGTTGAGTTTGAGTTATAACTTGAGTTTGTGTTTGGATGTACACATTTGAGTTATGATTTGAATTGAGAATCTATTTGAGTTTGTGCTTGGGTGGGTCAAAACTTAAATTTATATTTATATAGTATTTTAATAAAAACTAAATGGTGATGAAAATTTTTAATAGGGTATATGGGTGAGGTTTTATTCGTCTTTTCATTGTGAATGCATAGAAAAAAAAATCATCTCAATAAAAATTAAAATGAAAAAATTGTGGCATTTTTAAAAATAGAAAAAATATTGTTCATTAACTTGAGTTCAAGTTTATGAACTCGAGTTGAAGAAAAAACTTTAAACTCGAACTTAGCCCCAAACTCGAGTTCAAACTCAAATTTTACAAAAGAACATAAACTTGAATAAAATTATAACTCAAGTTCAAACTTTTTCTATGTTTCGTTGCAAAAGAACAACCTCAACTTTATTTAAGTTCATGTTCGTTTGTAAAATTTGAGTTTGAACTTGAGTTTTAACTTGAGTTTGGGGCTAAAATCTAAGTTCAAATTTTCCCTTCAACTCAAGTTCTTAAACTCAAACTCAAGTTAATGAACAGTATTTTTGCTATTCTTAAAAACGTCATAACTTTTTCATTTTAATTCCGATTGAGATGATTTTTTTTCTATGCGTTCACAACAAAGAGACAAATAAACCCCACCCATATATCATATTAAAATTTTTCATCACCATTGAGTTTTTATTAAAATACTATCTAAATACAAATTCGAGTTTTGGCTCACTCAAACACCAACTCAAATAGATTCTCAATTCAAATCATAACTTAAATGTGCACATCCAAACACAAACTCAAATAACAACTTCAACTCAAATTATAACTCAAATTCAACTCAAGATCTACACTCAAGTCATCATAACTCAAAAATGTAACTAAACAAGCCCGTAATCTCGAAGTTTTTTCAAAAGCACTTAGGTGGAAATTTTTGAAATTAATCTTCATGCTATAGAGATTTATGTTTCATTGTGACAGTAACAAAAAGATTAATGAAATAATAACTTATCGACACAGATATGTATATCCACCTCATAGAAATACATTTATAATCAAGTATGATATCCAAGTTTATTTTTACAACATTAGAAGGAAAAAAAAAAAAATGAGGTTGCGAATATTACACGCAGGCTTTTTAAGCTCATGTTCCAACTTCCAACCCCACATATCTCCCGTTCCTTCCCGTCACAATCTATCTATACAATGAATTTATGTCCTTCATTTGTTGCTCTCTGTATTAAATTTGAGAGAATTTTAGGCCACATAAAATTTTACCATTCAAAGCCAAATCTTTAGGGGCAAGATTTCACCCTTCATGTAGATTATCTGATAAAACTCGTATACATCCTCGGATATATATATATATATATATTGGCTTTCAGATGTTCAAAAGGGTCCCTCCACATGCATACATAATATTAATAATTTAACAACTTTTGCTGAAGCCATAAAGCACCTGGGCCACTCTGTTCCTTCACATGGTTTGGGCTATGCATGCAAGCTGGACCTTTGCGGCCCATATTAGTAGCTCAGCTTATCGGCGGCAACTTGGGCGAGTATTTTTATTTTTTGGTTGCCATTCTGTTGTGTTTGTACCAGAATACCACTCCGATTGGTCTAACCAATATTCACCTCGTGAGCTATGGGAAAAGAGACGTACCCCTTAGAATGCAACGGTTTGAAGTCTTACCCTTTTTCTTTATTAATAATCTTTTTTAATTAAATAATTATACTAATTAAATGATTATTAATTGAGTAAAAAGAAAATTAAAGTGCTAACGAGATGTTTTTCTATAACAGAAAATATTAAAAAAGTTTTATTCTTTTTTTAACTTACATGTAGAGGTGTTTGAACTTTAAACCTCAAATAGAGTAAGTGTAGAATTATCTCTAGTCTGTATGCAAATACAAGATTTGCTTATTATTTAGCGATGGCTATTTGGTCATGTATATTGAGAAAACCTTTCAATCAATCACTTTCCTTAAAAGAAAGGATCGTGTTTAGAAATTGAGGTGTCCCAACAATATCACTAGGCCGGATTGCTTTTAAGAGAAAACATTACTTTTAGAGTTTTTAATAAATTTGCCCCTCAAATTTATCGTAGTTTAGTAAATTATCTCTCAAATTTTTAATTTTGACAAGTTACCTTCTCAATTTATAAAATTGTTATAATACGTTTTATTTTATTGATGACTGTGTTAAATAAGTATAGAAAAAGCACGTTGAATGAAAAATTTCAACATTACAATTTAAATGTAACACAAATCTTTTAATTTATCAGTTGTTAATCATTTAAATCTAATTTAAAAAATGAGCAAATTTAGTAAAATGTGACAGATTACAACAAATTTATAAATTCAGAGAGCAATTGTGCTAAAAACTCTTATTTTTACTTAAAGTAGAAGTATAATCTAAAAACTACAGATTCTTAAGACTTGTTCATTTCGTTAATTCAAATTACAACTCAAGCTTTAGTTATAGTGTTTTTTCTATAAAAATTTAAATTCAACATTTTTTACTACAATGATTTTTCTCGCATGAATTCACTTTTTAATTTAAGTTCTTAACTTAAAAAAATAAAATGAACGAGACTTTAATTTTTTCTCAAATATAATTTAAAAGGCACGTTAATTTTTGTGCAAAATGCTTTTATCAAACACTATGATTGCATGTGCAAATTGTTTTAGGTTGTAAAACAATCCCATGACTTTGTGCAACTTGAATGTCATATAAGCTTTTGACAGAAGCAAAAAATTCTTATAATTCACAGTGGGAAAGCATTTTGCGTGGCTTTTGACGAAGCAGCATAGACCAAGTAAAATTTAAGGAACTAAGGGGAAAAAAATTAATATAATGGCATAGACCTTACAAGCATCAATTCTGTAGCTTTGTCTATTAATAGACTAACAAGGGCAAAGGATGATGGCATGAATTCCATGGCCCTCCTCACTTTGTTAACATACTGGTGCAAGCAAAATTGCTGAGGGCAAATATTAAATAATCAAATGCGTGTCAGGACTAACGAGCACTTTGCGACCTCCGAACCACAACGGAGGTTCTCACTCTGCATTTCATTGAGTGGAGGTGGAGTTTCCATCTGCAGCCCAATACTGCTTGACAGCAACCAAAATCTTCTCAGGAACAAGAGGTCCATCTTCATGGTCCACCATTTTGGTATCCCACCTCATCCCTCCAATTATCTTCTTCACCTTCACCAGTGTGTCGACTTCGTCGCGAAAGATTACTGCACCTTCCGGTCGCAAGATCCGGTCCATCTCGAGAAGAATGTCCTCCGCATTGCATCTGCATTTTTGTAAGTAGCGAGTTAAAGAGGCACAAGAAAAAAGACATTGGAGTAGATCTAAAACAAGAAGAGAATAAGATGTGGATGTGTTTGGATCTAGGAATGGCAAGATGAGTCCCTAGATTCGAGTAGCAGCATGATTTTCCGCTTAGAATGTTCAATTTTCAACTGCCATAGTCATTTTTGCTCACAAGTGACTTTACAAACAAAAAGAAAAAGCTTAGGTTCATATGTCAAGGTTAGTGGTTGAAGATGCCTAAAATGATTAGTGACTGATTGAAAGAAGTCAGTAAGGTAGGCCAAATAACAGTCTGATAAGACTCGTGACTTGGAAAATCATTGATTGACTGAAATAAGTGAGGTAAGCCAGACTGTCGCCAGTGATTGGTGGCTAAACTTTCTACTTTGAAATATCAATCAAACCAAGAACACACTTAAAAGAAAGCCCCACATTCACACGTAAGATTACACTGATTGAAGAAATACTTACTTGTCCTTGTACAGACTGAAAACGCCATTGGCATGAATGAGATCGTACGTCCTTGGGTATGTGGAGAAAGGTTCACACCTGCACCGGCAATTCCAAAAATAAAAAGACGAATAAGAAATTATAAAGTTCACAGAAAAGTCAAAGATTAGTAAGAAATGTTCAAAAATCATATTTAGTCAAGCTAAACACGACAGCCATATAAAATCCCACTTCAAGATGGGACCACTTCTTCCTTTCTTTCCTTCGCGGAAAGCGGATAGATCAGAAAATGGGTAAACCTTATCATTTGTCATTCTCTTGAGGAGAAAAAGAAAACTTCAACATGCGTGAATTAAGGAAAAACGAATAGGAAAAGGAGCTGGATAACTATAGCATGTTTTAGTGCATATCTATACAGCCAGAATGGAGGCTCAGCAAGAAAAAAGAGAGAGCACAAAAAAGGGTACCAGTCATGGTAGATGCCAACCAATCCTCGCTCGTATATGACACCCAGAGTATTTTTCTCAGCTATGGTAGGCATCACATTCATAACCCACAATTTGGGAGAGTGAAGAGCTGCAGCAAAACCTCCTAAACCAGCATTCATGTCCATTATGTTGCGGTACCTTCCTGTGTCGAGTAGTCTATTGATTTTCTTATAAGCATTAACATGCTTCTTCCACACTCTGTTGTCCTCCTCGTATGTCTCAACAGAAACACCAGGAACAGATCCACTAGCAATTCTGGGTGGGACAGCATAAAGCCTTCTTGGGAAGGGCTGCAGTTCCCCAACAGCTTCCTCTGGATATGGAGTTATGCATCCCTCCATCTTCTCGTACCTAACAATCACCGCAAAGAAGCAAACTTCAGAAAATAAAAGCATAACAGAATTTTAGGGGTAAGTTTTGAAAGCTAAATGCTAGCCTAAAGCCTCTTTTGAGGAATGTATGCTACCAACATAATGGCCGGTTCTATCAAAAAACTAAAAAGAAGAAGAAAACAAAAAAACATAATGCTTGGCAACAGGTGACAACAAACCATACCAGACATTATCTGCATCGTCAGATTTGCAAAAGGTAGCTCGAGAATCATCCTGTCTGCTTGTGCATGAATCAGCATTCATGCTCTTTTGCCAAATAGCAATTTCACCCTTCTCGTACTTCTTTTCCCAGCAGAGAAGCTTAGCAGTTTCTTCAATGTTTCTCTGTTCCTCCTGGAGTTCCTCCTTGGGACGCTGCCATGATCTGTAATTACTCCTCCAATGGATGGGAGGACCAGAAAGCACCCAATAACCTCCAGGTCTAAGAACTCTGTCAACTTCCATAAGATATTTTCCACCTGTGGAAAGAGAATCCCACAATCAATAACATAAATAAAATGTTAAAAATAACAAGATAACTGTTCTAATTTGCCATATATGACAATCACCATTGGCTCCCCATGGAATTAAGCAACGAGAACAGTGTGCCATGTCAAAGGCTCTAGATGGATATGGCAGCTTTATTGTCCCTAAAACGCCAATGACAGCAGGTACACCCCTTTCAAGAGCAAATTGGACCTGTGCTTCATGCGAGTCTCTTGGAGCAAAAGACATTGCAATAACATTTCTACTCCAAAGGTATGCACCCCAACTTGCAACCTAAATAAAGTAAACTATCGTCAAGATCACGCAGCTAAAAGAAATTAACTTAAGGAGTAAAACAAGGACAAAAGGTTTCCAACCAAGTCTCAAACATATAAGCATTTAGATTTGAAGCATACATACCCCGCAACCGGTATCCAACGCGGTCCTAACCGTCCCATTCTTAATAGGTATCACAGCTGCTAGCTGATCAATATACTTATCGGCTCCTTGAGGAAACTGAGTGCCCCCACCAGGAAATCGAAAAACATTTCCCTCGTATTGAATCCAATTCTGAATAGCCTTCTCAACTGTCAAGCTCTTGTAAGGAGCATTGGCATAGGGTACATAGTCACGGCTCTTTGGCCATGGGAATGGAGTTACGTAGCCTTTGGGTGCTGGGATTAGACAATGTAACTTTTCTTCCTCTGGAGGGCAATGTCTCTCTCTATAGATCATGTCATTTCTTGGGAAAGTCATTGCACGCCTTTGGTCTTGGCAGGGCGTATAATCAGTGTAACGGGAATGGCATGGTTTAAACACTTTCGTTTGCATGTCGGATTCATCAATACTTCTGGCATCGCCGCCATGGTGGGTATCAAAACTCAGATTTTGAACTACGTTGCACTCGGCCCCACTCTTGGTGATTTCAAGAGCAATACTATCACCCTTACCAAAACCACTTCTTTGCCATGCACCCAATATGTAGAAGAAACAGCACAAACCAGCTACAATAAAAATCTGAATGGAGCTCCTGGTCCGACCATCACCTGAGCTCGTTTTTGACGCCATAGAACACCTGAAAAGTACAGAAAACGCAGGAGGAAACGTAAATCTGGTGTAACACTAGCACAAAGAATCAAGATCTCCCACAGATCTGGGCATCGCGTGCACCCATCATGTCTTTATGCTTGAATATCAAGCTAAAGAGAGTATTGGTAAAAGCAGATGCGATATAACCAACAATCTGCCTTAAATTTTCTAAATTTAAAAATCATACAAGCAAAAATACTATTGAAGAAAAAATAAATAAAAAAGCGCGGAATAAAATCTTGTAATTTAAACCCCAAAAAAATTAAAAAAAAATAAAAGTGAATTATAAAGCTATCAGCATTAACTATTATGGAAGCTGATCATTTATACTTCCGTCGATAAAATTGAAATTTACCAGTAAATCAATTTAAAGCAAGCATTTTTCACACTAGTCACAACAAGGAAGTGTAAATCCATATATAGAAACTCATAATAGAATAAAAGGAAGCGTGAAACATTACTAACTCCTATTAAATTCAGCTAATTTAACTCGACAAAGACGCACACTTCCATTTCCGTGTGTTCTTTAACGAAACCAAAACTAAATCAACAAACTTTACACAGCTAAAAAAACAGCTCAAGATTTCCAAAGATCCAATCGTAATTACTCAAAACTGAAAACCGAATTCAGATCGCTTACCAATCGCAGAGAAAAAGCGAACGCCACTCCAAGATCTCACAATCCGGGACCTATCAGAGGAAAAAAGGGAAAAAGACGGAGAGAGAAACGAAATTTCCCACTATATATATATATATATAATATTGTCTTTTTCCTTCTTTTTCAGAGGCAATGATGAATCCAATTCCAATCACATCCAAAACCCTAGCTACTCTCCGATCTCGGAAACCATTATTGCGACTTTCTCGTGTAATCCACTGTTACGACTCTCTCTTCGCTTGGCACTGAAATGGCGAATATTTTTGTGTATTATGGAGATACATGGAGAGAGAATATACAGAGGGAGACAGAGAGATAGAAAACGCTACACACGTCGCTTCCTCAACATCTTTCACTCTTTAATATAATATTTAGTTTTTTTTTTTTCCCTAAAAAAAAGGGTCCCATCGGGCTATAAATAAATATAAACAAATTGAATGCGTAAAGCATAAATAAAAACACGGCACGCTTGAAGATCTCGGTCTATATTTCGTCGTGGTTGTTGAACACAATCGTTGTGTTCGGAGTTATTTTTATTTTTAGAAGCGTTTGAAATTTATTTTAAAATAATTTTATTTTTATATAAAAATAAAAATAAAAATATTTTAATTTTAAATAAAAATTATTTTTAAAAATACGTTTAATAATTTTATCAAGAGATTATTTTCAGTATAAAAAATTTATTAATGTCTTTTCTCTGTTCGAGAGAGGAGAAAACGAAAATAAAAAATAAAAAATGATTAAAATCGTTTTTCATTTCTTTCTCATTTTACACTAAATTAAAAAATCGTTTCCATTTCCATTTTTATCTTTATTACACCAAATGTCGTTTTAAAAACGTTTTCATTTTTTCTTTCTCAAAAAATGTGCAAAATAAAAACGAGATCAATTCCAAACACGGCATTTATTTTTCACATTTTTTATGAAGGAAAAAATAAAAACGGAAAAAAAAACGGCATTTGGCACAATTAAAGACAAAAAACGAAAATAAAAATGATTTTTTGATTTGGTGTAAAATATGAGAAAAATAAAAAATGACTTTTAGTCGTTTTTCATTTTTTGTTTCCGTTTTCTCCTCTCTCGAGCAGAGAGAGAGAGACATTAATGGATTTTTTATACTGAAAACAATCTCTTAATAAAACTATCAAACGCATTTTAAAAATGATTTATGTTTAAGATTGAACACGTTTTCATTTCTATTTTCATACAAAAAAATAAAATTATTTTTAAACGAATTATAAACGCACCTAATATTTTTTATTTTTTAATTCTACCAATCAAGCGCGTTTGTATTCAACTTGTTACATTTTTTTATATAAATATTTAAAAGTTTTTTCCAAAAAAAAATTTCTATTTACTTAAGAATTTAGTTTAGTAAAATGATTAAAAATAAAAAATTTAAATAGAGCATAGTTAAAAGGAAAATAAGAAATTAAAGAGTAATTTATTTATGGGATATATAAGAAAAAAAATGGTATTTAAGAGGATTATAAGAAAAAAATATTTAAGTAAAGACAAATTTGAGAATATATGATATTAATAGAGTAATTAGGAAAAAAAATTTATGATGGCCACATATAGAAAATGGAGTAGGTCATATGTGAGAGAAATTATTTAAATATAAATAAATTAGAGCAATTTTATTTATGAGATAAATTGAGAATATCACCGAAAAATATATATAAATATGGCAATAAGAAAAAGTATTTTAAAAAACACTTAAAAAGGAGTTAAACTTGAAAACAATTTTTAATAAAAAGAAAAAAATAGGGATAAATTTAAGATAAATTATTTTAATAAGTACAAAATGAAGAAAAAAAGTATTTTAAAAAAAACATATCGTAAACAATATTAAACTTTACAGGAGCTTTAGAAAAAAATGGAAACAAAAAAAAGAGAAAGAAGCTTCATTATAATGTCACACTCACACTTCAAAAGAGGAAAAAACCTATGTATGTTATAAAGATAAGGTGTGGTTCATTTTATCAATTTAAATTTTTAGTTTTAATTTTTTATAGTTAAAATTTTTTTAAAAATATTATATTTAATTTTTTATGTTATAATTAAAATTTTTAAAAAATATCACATTTTAACTCAAATTAAAAACTTAAATTAATAAAATAAACAATATTAAAAATTGATTATCAGAATTGCTAAAAAAAAGATTGATTATATTTGCAAGAGTGCGATGGGATGTGCAGTGCGCGCCAGTGTATGAGTGGGACCCACGCGCCAGTCCCCGTTCCCAAATCCCAAAAGAAGTTTAGACGACAATTGAGAATAGAGATTTCTGTTCCAGTTGGCGCTGCTGATTGAGATTTCTGTTTAATTTGGGCCCCACTGTCCATGCCCGTCGGACTGCCACAACTGGGCCGGCCATGTCCTGATCGTTGATCTGTTGGGAGCGATCGGATACAGACTGTGTATGGTAAGTGTGCGGGATACAGATACTCTAGAGGCAAGGCACTAATACTACTTCCCTCTGAAATATCTATTGCTTCCTCGCTTTTTATTGCATTATTTTAAGGTACTTATATGGTTGTATGCTGTATTTTTTTTCTTCCAATATAAACAATGAAAATAATTATATTTTTATAGCTTTTTTTTGTTTGTTTTCTTTTATATAGTTAAAACTACGTAATGTTGCTTTCAGTGTTATCTTCTTTTGTCATAAATTTTTTACCTTTAAACTTGTAAGAAGGAACTTTTCTTTTTAATACAATTTAAAATGAGAATGATGTATTTATTAAATGAAAAGCAAAAGCATTGTCGAATAGCATTTAAATATTAAAATTTGACATATGTTGTAGTTGTTAAAATTTGATACTAAATATAATATATGCTAAATTTATCATTTAATATAGCATTACATTTGAGAATAATTTTTTTATTCCAGCGCCAAATCTTATTATTGACAGATTTAGGCATTTAGCATTGTTGAAGATACTTAAATATCAAAATTATATCATAAATTAGGTAGTATATAGATGTAATAAAATCTATTAAATAAGCAACACAAATAGTGGAAATAACATCGCTTTTTTGAAAACAAAATAACAACCGTCAATAAAAAACAATGCCCAGATCCCGAAT